TCTCTTCAGGGGGTTTGCCTTCTATAGGCCACGCCTCCCCTAGCTTCATACCTTCCTCCTTAGAGGAAATATCTGCAAGGTCCTCCGTCTGAGTAATTTTCTCTGAGGAACCTTGCAACGCCCTATGCGACAGTCCTTAGATGCATGCTCTTCGGCTTGGGTGGCTTTCATCAATGCATTTACTTTATCCCAAGTCATCAAGTGCTGCGGATTTCCCTTTTTTTCCTGCTCTTTTAAATCAGCTTTTATCAGGGGCCACAGCTCAGGCTTCATACAATCCATCGGCTCAGCCAGAATACTGAGCTTTAATAATCTTTGTAGCATCTCTTTTAAAGCACTCGACTTCATAGAAGTCTTATATTTTCTGCCCCATATTTTTACCTTTATTATGGCCTCAATGGCGTGCCGTGGAGTCTCCCGTCCTGCGTGGAGCTCCTTTGTCTCCTGCTGTGTACCGCCGACAGCCACCATCCGTACACCGGGGTCACCACTTGTTGTGGTAAGGCATTAGCTGTCTTTTTCTATCTGCTAAGCCACAGGAATGCGGCGTTCAGATCACAGCTAACCCTTGCAGGAGGTTAACTTCCGCGGGAAAGAAAGCACAAACACCAATATGGTGGATGCTATCTGTTCGATTTATTAACTGCGCAATTGCTTTATATACCCGTTTCTGTACATCGCGAGATCTTTAGTTCCCTGTTCTTTCCGTGCATCATGAGATCTTTTCATGTGCCTCTGTTTTTCCTGTACATTGCGAGATCTTCTGAGCGCCTCCCCCTACAAGAACTGAAACAGGAGGCAGAAACTACCCGGTCCCTGATGTCATCAGAACTGTGAGATCTGCAGAAAGACTATTGCCGCCAGCCGGGTGAGCGGATCGCTGCCTGGCTGCTGCGATGCTGGAATAATGGGGCAGATGCTCAGCAACTGGAAGGTAAGGAAGCCCAACAGTTGGGTTCCCTTGCTAGAAATCGAGGAATTGAAAGGGGAATTGGAAAAGAGACAGCAATTTGCAGTCTGTGGAGACAGCTCCTTTGAAGTGTTAAAGCAAGGTATCCTTTCAAGGAAGATCTTATGGACAACACCCCAGGGAAGTGGACTACTGCAGATGAAGGTGTCCAGTACCTGAGAGAATTAGCAGTGATGGAAGTCATCTATGGTGATCCAGATAATGAAGAAGCCCCTAAAAATCCAGAGGATGTCCCATGCACACAGGCCATGTGGAGGAAGGTGATTAAAGGTGCACCATCCTTGTATTCTGCCAGCTTGGCCGCGATGTACTACCCAGAAATGGATGCAGGAGAAGGACTAAGATGTACACCAACTGTGGAGGCAGTCTCTTCCTGGGTTCAGAATTTTGAAGAGAGTCTTGGTACCTCCTCATCTCTATGGGCGAGTGCCCTGGATGTTAGGAGCTCCCCAAGCAATCATTTCTCTTCTGTCCCAGTCAGGGGGAAAGGGAAGCCAAGGCTCATGACACGTGGTGAACTCTGGTTCTTCCTGCGCGACCAGGGGGAGGTCATGAGGAAGTGGGATGGTCAACCCACC